CCCTCGATTTCTTCTTCTAACAGAAATCTGGCGAACTTTGTTGGCTGTAAACAATATAACGTTGTCTTAGAATGAGCGATAGAAAATTACCGAATCCACTATCAACCAGCCACAAATTATAAAACTCCTAGTAAGCTTGGGTCAGAGAGATGGTTTGCAGTGGTTTTATAATATGGTAACGTGTTTGACCAGGTAACACGACCAACGAAACAAACAGTAGTATTATAGTTAAATTTCATCGACCGATTCATTTTTTACGGTTTATCAATCATTTGTTGGTTATTTAAATCCATATTGTATTTTAAATTGTAAGAATAATTACTTTTTGCGTATGAATAATAATGTTTTTTTTAAATAACCATGAATTTTACATCTGCAACTCCTACTATTTAACATATATCTGGAGGATGAGATGGATCTATAACATTCTCAAGGGTCTTTGCTCGTAAATGAATGTAGGTAATCCAACTTGAATTCGAAAGTTTTTCTGGTGTTTGTCTAAATCAGCTAAATTTTATATTTTATACGGTATATTTTTTAGATATTCACATGAACAAATTTAGTCCTAGGTATGACAATAAAATACATCGGGCTGATCGAGAGAGTGGGGGTTTTGAGGACAGTAGCCACACCTCTTAACTGATGCTGTTCCCAGGTTCACCCTAACCCGAGGTGTTAGGACTTGTCAGGGTCCCAGCTACGGACAAATAGTGAATCCCAAACAAAAGATTATGAAAGTATAAAAATAGTTTTTTTTTCGTTAAAGTACCAGCAATACATTTTTATATAAAACAAATCCCAATAATAGATATTTACAGTAAAATTACTGACAATATATGAAGTAAAATTACCAATAACACAATTTGAAAGTAAAATGACAATCAATACATTTTATATAAAAATATACTAACCATACATTTTAGGGGACAATTACCAACGATTCACTTTATAGAAAAACTAGCCGAGGTACCCGGCGCTGCCCGGGTGTACATGGCGGTAATTGTATAACCACACCCGTTTGTTTAGAAATGTCCGCTTGAGTCCTCGCTTGCATGCATCATCCGTTGCAAATACCCTCAGGGCATCTATTTACGGTATGTCTTTCACAGGGGTTTGATTGTTCTTAATAAAGGAATTCCATCGATAAAAATTTCTTGTGTGGTTGTTGTTCGGGGTTAAATTGTTTCAATGTTTTAGATATTCAGTAAATTTCCTATGGCTGTTATAACTTTCAGATTGTTCACAAATTTAATAATCAAACAAAAGCAGGGATGAAGCGTCAGAGCCTGGTTCAACGACAAGGGTAAACGCATGAACGCCCCCTCTTCTTCGCCCGTTTACTGTAAACCTGGGTTTAATAAGAGGTTCATCAGTATTTTCTTCCCTTTTAACGCTTCAGTTATCCTTCTCAAGCAATCTTCAGTTATCCTTCTCAAGCAATTGTTCGAATGCCAATTTAGAATGAAATCATATGAAGAAACTATTAGCTAAAGAGCAAAAACCGATTTTGGACCTAGTTTGTCGCAGATTTTATCCACTTAACCGAAGTAATCTAAGCAGAACATTCACACACGGCAATGCGTGTATCATTTGTAATTTACATGGAAAATTTGGCAAGCATTGAATGGAAAAGCATGGAGTTATGGCCGAAAATAGGCTTTTTGAACAGTTTTGCGTTATATACGGAGAAGGGAGCATGACTAAAACCACACTATCTAATTCTTGCATAATGGCAATTTTTTGCGATAAGTTTGGAGAAAAAATGAGAAAGTTATTCAAGTTTTTATTTTAAGTAGTACAAAAAAACCCACTTTTTTCAGTTGTTTGCAATTTTTGTGTGAAGCCAATGTCGCAGGAAAACTATCAAGCACTCTATATAAATCTCGTAACATGAGTTATGTTCTGCATTAAGTGCAAAGAACAACAACTCATGCAATATAAATTTTGTTCGCTTGTAACTTTGCCTTGGTTTTTGCTAAAAAGTCGTACCCGCATTCAGTTTTATTGATTTATCCGCCAAACCCAGGGGTGGTGGAGATTGAAAAGTTGGTTTTGACCTTCTTGATAGAGTTACAATACGCGTGTACAATTTCATCAAAATCACTTGAGAAATGAGGATGTGCATAAATAGCATACACACACACACACACACACAGACATCTTGTGTTTTATAGATACAGATGACGAAAAATACATTTTATCTGTAGTTGAAGCCAAACAAATGCGTTCAAAATATGTAGATCTCGGTATTCCAATAGAAGTTGATATGCCGCAAAACAAAATCAATCAACCAACAAACTGGCCACTGGTCCGACAGAAGTGAACAGGGCTTGCTTTGAAATCACTGATCTAAAACATTATTTCTAAAGTGAAAATGTTGGGTACAAAATGCAAAAACGTAAGGATCTCAACGGGAGAGATGGTTTTGAACAGATAGATAGATAGATAGATAGATAGATAGATAGATAGATAGATAGATTAAATATAGTAAGGAAATCGCTCTAGTATTAAAAACATCGGTAGAATGAGATAAGAGAGATATAATGTGTGTGAGTAAAAAAGATGACTTAGAAATAAGCCGAGTATTTATTAACTGTGAAATCAGTCGTTTTATTCTTGAAAAGATTGTAAGAGACTAAAAGAACCAATTTAGAAAAGAACGCAAGAAAGTATAAAAATAGAAACAGAAAAATAATGAGACGTCAGAATACAAAGAAACATGGAAGTACAGTGGTTAGAGAAAAAATGGCAGATAAGCAAGTTAAAAACATGAATCAGATTTTGCTTGACAAAGAGGCCATTGTATATGACATCCTTTTGAAGAATACTGATCTTATGACAAACTATTATGGAAAATCGTATTAAAACTAAGTATTTAAAGAAGAATCTATATGAGGATAAAATTCTTTTATCTTCGTTTTAAAACTACTTTTTACTCAGAAGAATAGAAACGTCAGCTTGAATAAATAAAAACATTGTTGTTCGCTGGCTTGAAAACACATTCTAGTAATAATCTGAACGAAAGCTTAAACCTGTTCGATTCCACAGGAGATAATTCATTTTAAGATACTGTTATTATTTTGCAAGATCGTACCACCAAAGTAAATTTGAATATTTAATTTGGCTATTATGTAATGAGCAAATATTTGCACTAATTGTCTTACGTATAGATTTATGTTATATGATATTTTATACTTATTTTAATTATTATAACATTTTAAAACATATATCTTTATATAATAGAGTTAACTGATGTTAGCAGTACTCATGAATATTAAACGGTTTACTCTTTTTAATTTTTCGTGGAGTTATGATTTTAATATAATGATTGCATATGTTTCTTTTAATTTCCTAATCCACTAAAGACTCGTGGAATTTCCACTAATTTATCAATATTTGACTTGAACAAGTTTACCAAAATCTAGGAAAAAAAACTTTTGTATTGTCTTATATCTCATTGTTGTCGTTTCTGTGTTGTTTCCTGACTACGAGAGAAAGTAGATTTTATTAATGAAATATAATAAAACTTGAATCATATTGAACATACATTTGATAGAGAGGAAAACGAAATATAAAACGTGAAAATAATATATCTCCCTTTGATATTTATTGACAAACAATTTCTCTCAGTCTTCCCTTTCCTTCGCTTTCTATTTCCTTCCATTTTGCTTCCTGACTTCCATTTTACTGATGCAACCGTTAAGCGCCTGAATAATTTTATTACTTCTACTGTCTTTCTTTCTTTTTTCTTTCATTATGCATGATTTCTTTTCTTATTTTACAGTTAAAATATCTTGAAAGTGTTTCCATAGATTGTGGAATAGGGGAAACTGAACGTGCAGCGGAATAGCGAAAGATTTATTCTAAAACAAGAAGAAGAAGAAGAAGAAGAAGAAGAAGAAGAAGAAGAAGAAAATAAGAATAATAATAATAATAATAATAATAATAATAATAATAATAATAATAATAATAATAACGCGATTCTGCTGTACATTTGAGTTTTTCGGAGGAAAATTAGAACGTTTTAAGGACAATGAAAACTTTCAGTTTTCATCAATTTTTCACGGAAGATCGATGTCACTGGAGTTACACTGTTATAAAAATATACTTAATGTCTTTGCATCAATAGAACCTATTTTAGTCTGAAGTTATTCTCTTAGGCTCCACCAAATAATATATATATATATATATATATATATATATATATATATATATATATAGACAGAAAAGGTTATCTCCGAAAGTAATACTTTTTTTTGATGTTATTCCACGATCTCAGAGTCAGAGATGCGTGATATGGAAGGGTAGGTTGGAACTTACCTTCCATATTTCTTTCGTTCTTTCATAGCCTTTCTTTCAGAGGGTTTCGGCAGAAGATGTATCCGTGGGAGAAGGAGAAAGAATTAACGTGTGGCAGAGAATAGAGGGTTTCCATTCAGAATGTTGAGGTGGTTGCAAAATATTTCAAGAAGTCCAGAGTGTTTAACGGCCGAAACATTGGAAGTATAATAATCATCCAGACGATCATGCTTAAATCAAAATCGAAAGAAATGTCATCATTATAATTTCTCATCTCTAAAATTCCGATATATGCTCAGAAATCATTTTTCCCTTTCCAGTTACGAAGTAATATCCCTGGAAAAACAATAATACAGCTCTTTAAATAATTAAAAATAAAACGTCATAAAGAAAAGAAATAAGCGACATATATCATGTATATATATATATATATATATATATATATATATATATATATGTGTGTGTGTGTGTGTGTGTGTGTGTGTGTGTGTGTGTGTGTAAACACGTTAGGTAAATAATTCGGGGTTCTTTAGTATTTTTGTTTTATTTTTAAAAAACAGTGCTCCATGCAGAAGTAGAGCTTACATTATAATTATTTTTAAAAAAATGATTTCTTCGCTACATAAGAGTTCTCATGTTTCAAAAACAAGAACCGAAAACCTGAATGTAAAAATTAAACCAGTTGTGTAACCGATAAATGTATGTGGTCGCATTGTCATATCTATCTATCTATCTATCTATCTGTCTATCTATCTATCTATCTATCTCTCCATATATGTTTTAGTTTCCACTTGCAAAAAAAGACTAAAAATAATGGAAGCTCTAATAATAAAAAAGAAAAAGCCAACTCTTAACAATATCAACTATGAACAAAGCCACAATGTGCTAACCGTATTCGGAAACTAAAACATCACTACCACACACTGAACATACATAGAATACACTCTACTAAGCTGATAATTGAACCATCCATGATAATGGCTAAAGGTATAGCCTAAAAGCGCTCGGAAACACAGAACATTCGGACAGTTCTTACACACTCTTTGTCCAGAAAAGAAAGCTCTTGTCAGAACACAAGAAAAATTAAATAAAAAGCTCAACTGTAGTACCTTGTCTGTCGTTTTTAATGAAACATGCATAAAGGAAGGATTGCTGCCTAAATATACAAATATATATATATATATATATATATATATATATATATATATATACACAGACAAACCTCTCATCTAGAGACTCTCTCAATCAACTGATTTCGTATGCAACAGACAAAATCTGCAGAAAAATAAAAAATAATCTGCCAGAAAAAAATCAAAAAAACTTCCAAATCGTCAGCGATGTTTTTCAAAATATGCAGGCTTAGCAAAACTAGTAGTATTAGTTCACAAAGTGACCACTTGGCGACGGTGGTGACCCTTTCAATTGTAAACAAAGACGGGTATACAGTATATAAAGTACGATATATTACCGAGTGCGTCAGAAAGTAGCAGTGGAAATCTATTATTTTGGTGATTTTGATTAATATATCTATATTAAGAATATATTTATTTATGCCATATATACATGTTTATAATATTTACATTATGGTCATAACTTCTGGCAGTTACTATATTGTTTTTATATCTAATAATCCCTTCCCATCCTACAGACAATTGGCTTCAACGGACTACCTCTCCCACCTATTAGACCAATGATGAGAGGTTCGTCTCTCTCTCTCTCTCTCTCTCTATATATATATATATATATATATATATATAGTGATGTGGCTGCGTTTCAGACACTGGCTGCATTTGTTTTGTTTTTACAATCTTCAAAGTTCGAGTATTTTCCAGCTGGTATCTATACTCGTCATAAAGAAAGGTGGAATTAAAAACAAATTCACTGTCTTCGAGTTAAGTTGCCAAAATTATCACATCAACTCAAAGAATGTAAACTTGTACATCAATATTGTTGACCTACAATGGCGTGAGTAAATATTCAGAAATTTGTATGAAAATTACTAACTATTCAGTGGCATCAATATGTCTTGAAAATTACTTCAGAACTGTCCGTTTATGTTGGAAAATTATTTTTTTTTTTGTGGCGAGAAAGATATTTCCAATTGAATTTTCACATATTTTTCGTAAAATTCCTTCAACATTTTCAGCACAGTTTAGGGGAAGAGAAATTCGAATTGGAAAATATTTGTCTTTTAGTAAAAGAATAAGTGTGTAAACTTTTAGGTAAACTTGTAAACAATATATTCTGTCAGTATTTTTCAAGTACATGATGGTTATAAGAAAAGCTAATTCAATTAAAACGAAACGTAATGACCTTGGAATCGAAAGAAAAAAATCTCAAGTCAGGGTGAACAAAAGAAATGGATACAAATGAAGAGAAATTGTTTTCGTTTGTTTTTGTGAAGTGTTTAAAAAGTTGACAAAATTGGTTCACTTCTCATCTGTTTTATTTTTTGTCGTTGATTCTTAAAACAGGCTGAATATTTGGTGTCTCTTTGGATTCCTCGAAGTTCAAACTCTCAAGGCCGATATCTTTTAAAAAATAAGACATACCTCTGTTTACCAACGTGCGCTTTCAAGAAAATAATGACGTGCACCAGATGCGCGTGATTCAACTTCCGTTGAGGCGATTTCCATGAGACTTAAAACAAATGTCAGCTTCGAATTAGAGATATCAGAATTAACGAGGTATGGATATCTATATATCTTGGTATTTCATTAACAGATGACCAGATGTTTCGACAGACTCATTTTAATTCCACCCGTTCAGAGGTTTGAAGATCGGACTCGGCATGCAAATTACGCGGAGTTGAACCAACTAAATTTCCACAGTATTCCAGTTGTAAGGAGGAAGTTTCACCAGTTTTTCTTTTCAAGAACATCTAACTTTTCAACAGGCTCCCATTGGGATGCTTTTCTTAACACTATCACTATAAAGTCTTTAAATCAAAAGGCAATAGTTATTTATACTGCTCATCCTCATAAACTCCATTTCCTTCTAAATTCATATCAAAAACATCATTCAGTAACCCACTACCTTGAGTGTCTCTCGAGCATTGTACAAGAGGATTTTTAATAAGAAAAAAGAGCTCTGAAAGCGCATTGGTATAGAAAAAGTTACCTTCGAGAAAATATACAAAGTATTAAGACATTAAAATTTCGTTAGAAAAAAAACGAATTCTATGATATCATATCTATGGTGATTGTCTAGGAGTAGGTTGTGGCACAAGGCCGAAAGTATGGGGTACCCAGTGGGGATTGAACTCACTATTCAGTCGTAATTGTTTTAGCCAGACAAGCTTACTAACCATTACACCCCATCCTTCTGCTTTGAAGTGGATGTTGGAAAATTTTCCTACAAATGAAGCAGAAATTCCAAGCGATTACAGGCTATTTCATGTAATCTAATTATATTAAGTATATTTTTAAACTTAGATCTATTGAATAGCATTTAGGTTATTGCAATTTTATTATCCGGAAGTGTGTTTATTGATTATCAGGCGTCTATTTAACACAGGGGATTCCAAATCTTTTAAACTATCGAACTCTTCAACTGAATCTTTGTACCCTAAACGGTCCGGAGGCATATACAAAAAATATATCAATAATAATTATTTTCATTTAAGAGCAGACATTGCTTTGTGAATTTTCTTTGATTATTGCTTTTCGTCAAGATCCACTTTAGCTGAAAATTGCTTAATTCTTTTTTTTCAGTTTCTATTTCTCTTCTTGTAGGATTGATCGATTGAATTATTCGTTTTCTGCAGTTGATCAAACCATTGTTGGTCATTTAAAGCCAGAAACGTCTTTTTGTAGATTGTAAGAAATTTTTCGAAGGAGATAATGATGATTTAGTGTTACAAAGTCTTACTATTTAACCCATAGTTGGGATACAGAAAAGATGAATTCATATCTTTCCTAAGTGTATTTGCATGAAAGTGAATATAACGAACCCAACTCGACTCACCGATTAACAATTTAGAACCATTATCCATTAAACCACCCACACATCCAGACTTACAGCATCTAGTATTTTTAAGTGGTTACTCATCAAGGTACTGGCCAGGCACGACGTTGTATAACTTCGTTGACCGTACTGTAGATATTTACTCCCCCCCACTGAGTCAGGTTGTGACACAAGGTCGGTTTTTAACGTGGGGACCCGAGTGTCTTCACTCGGGCCGCTGGTCTAAGCTGGTCTTAGCTGGTCATAGCTTGTCCAAGCTGGTCAGAGCTGGCCTAAGCTAGTCATAGGTGGTCTTGGCTTGTCATAGCTGGTCCAGTCCCGAGTCGGTCCAAGCTAGTCGTAGCCGTGATACCCCCCAGAAACAGAGCCGAAGCACATGTACCAGGAAAGTATCTCATTGACCGTACGGTAAACGGTGTTTCAACGTGATTTATTGATTTAATTGGAATAATAATTAACAATACAATAAAATAAATTACTATCCATTTTGATTTTATACCATTAATTGAAGGTCTGATGAACAGATGAAAGGCTTCCAGTTTTTAGTCGTATATGAATTTATTTATAGAGGTAACAATACATACATTAAAATAAATTACTATCCATTTTGATTTTATACCATTAATTGGATCCAGTCGTCTGATGAACAGATGTAAAGGCTTCCATATTTGGTGAGAAAGTTTTAGTCGTAAGTCACTACAATTTATTTATCAATGAACATTCAGCTATTATCGAGCCCTTTTTATTATACATTTCAAATAGGTATTCCAAATAATCATAGCCTAGGTTTCCAGCTTGAAACCACCTTCACTTGTTCGTCAAAACCTGGTTCGTTGAGTGAATTACTCAAGTAAGGGTTTCCATATAAACACGTACAGTGATAAATAGCTAATAATAATTTTATGCCTTCCCTAAAAAAAACTAAATCGGTCGATGAAAAAATTTCCTGAAATTCACCTATAATACTACTGTTTGTTTGGTTGGGAATCGTTTGTTTCATTCTTTAAAGTCAAACACGGAACCAGATTATAACCATAATGCAGTTCTAATAATATAAAGGGACACATACCCATCCTCTACTGACGCACGGTCTCTTTCTTTGAACAAAAAAATTTTATAATTTGTTACTTTTCCGATTGATGTGTGGATTCAAAATAGGTTCAATTTTGCTTATCGGTCATTCCACCAGATAAGGGTCAACGTTTGAGATGCAAAACTCAGGGTTATTCTCGAAAAATCATTATTATTCATGCGCAAAAAGTATTTTTTCTTACAATTTAAAATACAATTCGGATTTAAATAACCCACAAATGGTTGATAAGCCGTAAAAAATAAATCGGTCGATGAAAACTTTCCTGAAATTCACCTATAATACTACTGTTTGTTTGGTTGGGCGTGTTACCTGGTCAAACACGGAACCAGATTATAACCATAAAGCTAATCTCTCTGACGCGTAGGTCGCTAGGATTTTATAATTTTATAAATTGATTTTCGCCAATTCTAAGAATAAGTTCAATGAACGTCTTATAAAATAATTTCTGCCAATACTTTTGAGATCCTTGACAAAATCCAAAGAAGAATCTGTAATCGATCCTCATCAGGTATCTCGACATCAGTCACTTTCGAACTGGCTTAACGTGGCTTCTCACTATCTTTTCTACAAATATTTTCATGTCATCTGCTCTGAAAAGCTTTTTTCACTGGTGACCCGATTACATGAATTTAAGCGTGCTACTAGATTGACACCCATATAAATTTTGAAATAGCTAAATGTAACCGCTATTTCTCTTCTAACAGTTTTTTCTCGCATTTCCCACATGTGGATCACCTTGCATTTTCCTTGTTTCCCTTATAACTACAATGTCCAAAAATTTAAATGTAACATCAATCGACATCTTCTGTTGTCTTGAATCTCGTTCATCTTTTTTCCTTCCCTTAATTATCTCTATTCTCAGTCTTCCCTTTCATTTTCTCTCCCCCCTGCAACCCCCTGCTCACTAGTGGTATCCCCGCCTTGCTTGGGATAAAATGATTAAAAACTTTTAAAAATAAAACGTTCGTTTAATTTGATACCAGCAATATTCACTACTGTTAATATAAGTATCAGCTACAATATGGGTCCTCTGGTTTAGGTAAGTTCTCTGTATTGCTGTCAGTCAAAGAAATTATTGCTCGAGACCTACGATTCGTGGAGTCTGACTGCTGAGGAATACTTTTAACGATTGTTCTTTAATAACTTTTCCTGATAACTCTTCCTGCGACTATCTGAGACTGTCTGATGACTGGACACGATTCATTGCGACTTTCCAACAGTAACTGGCGCCTATTCGCAGCGACTCTCCATATGCAACTGGCTGGCGACTATCTCTGATACGCAGCGACACTCCATATGCAACTGGCTGGCGACTATCTCTGATACGCAGCGACTCTCCATATGCAACTGGCTGGCGACTATCTCTGATACGCAGCGACTCTCTATATGCAACTGGCCATATCTGATACGCAACTGGCAACTGGCGACTATCTCTGATACGCAGCGACTCTCTATATGCAACTGGCTGGCGACACTCCATATCTCTGATACGCAGCGACACTCCATATGCAACTGGCTGGCGACTATCTCTGATACGCAGCGACTCTCCATATGCAACTGGCTGGCGACTATCTCTGATACGCAGCGACTCTCCATATGCAACTGGCTGGCGACTATCTCTGATACGCAGCGACTCTTCATATGCAACTGGCTGGCGACTATCTCTGATACGCAGCGACTCTCCATATGCAACTGTCTTGTGACTGGCCCCGACTGGCTGCAACTCACCATGTGCAACTAGCTGGTGACTGACCCTGCGACTCTCCAACTGTAACTGGCTAGTTACTACTACATACATAATTAAATAGCATGTTTCTGACAAACACTGACGGATTTATAACACATTTTAAATAGTTTCCTCTTACCGGAATTATACCAGAATGAACTATACGAAATGAATATTTCTATTCCAATGTTATTGGGAATATAATGCTTGCAACAATCCAAAGTAATTACCGGGACGTGAGTGGAAGTTTATTTAATACAAAAAGATTCAATGTAACATGATTCTTTACTACTGCAAAATCTGTTTAATTGTTCTTGTCAAATAAAATTTCTTTTCTTTTTTTTTCTAGTGGAACATAGAAAATAGTCTTGTAAATTAAGACGGAGAGGCAACTCGATGTGGTGTAATTGTTAGCAAGCTTCTCTTGCTTCTAGCAATTACGACTGAGTAGTGAGTTCGATCTTCATTGGGTGCTATGCTAGGAAAATCGCCATTCGGATTGAGTATATATACGTTTTTAAAGGCCACAGAATTTAATGTTGAAGCTGAAGAATTTAAATATTTTGCAATAAAACTCACCGAAAACTTGGCATTTGATTTTTTTTCTGGCTCAGTAGGCAAATTGCATTTAAAATTTAAAATAACTTTTATTTCTGCTAAATCCTAATCAGCAAATATCTAGATGCAAATGATTTTTGAGGAGACATGCTTACATTTTACTTAAGAAATATGTGTAATAAATTGTGACAACATTCCTGATAAAAGAGAACAAGAAATGGAAAGATTAACAATTTATTCATGATTATTAATTTCTTTTCTTAACACTTTTTTTTAAATATTGAGAATTTTGCTGAAATATAAATGATGGCCACTAAAGAAATAATGTTTAGTGAAAATAATTATTTCTATATAAAAATATGTAAAGTTACAAAACTCAAAACATTTTTTTAATATTTTCTCACTTTTCCTCTATCACATTGAAAGATTAAAATATATAAATAAAACATCCCACGTTAAATGTAGATACCTTCATATTTTTAAAATATAAAAATTTGATATGATTTTACAAACAAAAAAATGCATTTAGATAATGGATTATTATCAGCCAGAATGCGTACGCTATCCCCAAAGTATTAGATCTACAAATTAAATATGAAATTTCTTTATTATTCACGTTAAGTATTACTCTAAAATATATTTCGTTATGATTTGCCGTTTAATAGATTTACAATAACACAATGCGATTAACAAAAATCATTAAAGGTAATGTATATAAGAATTTGGTGCTGAAAAAACTCCATCAGAACCACTTCCGAAAATGTAACCAAAAGACTGAACAGGAATTTTCAAAGAGCTTCTTTTCAGAATTGTGAGCCTTCCAATTTTATATCTAATTGGGTCGATATACTGCGCAAGACGTTATACTGTCGCTTAGCGTACATATGAGACCATGTTGATGCAAGTTATTTCAAACTTTAGTTGAGGTAATTAATATTCAACATATTCCGTATCTTCGCACAACAAAGAGAAGAAATAGTTTTAATAAAGAAACAACATTGATATATTAAAGAAATTAATCCAACCGATTTCGAAATTTTAAATTTTTTCGTTTTTTTTTTAAATAACAAAAAAATTTAATATTTCGAAGATCGTGAAAAAATGCAGAAAAATTGAGTTTCAGTGAACTTCAGTAATAATTAAATCCCTTGAAAAGGGGACAAGTCTATAATAAATATTCTATGTGCTTTATTTTCATTCCAGTAAAATATGTTATAATTATAGGGTCAATATTGCCGTGCGCTGTGGAGTAATGGATAGCGGCTTGGAATAAGAGTTCGGAGAGCCGTGTTCGAATTCTATGCGGCGTTCGCTATATTCACTTGCGCACAAATACCCTTGGGAGAGGCATAAATCTGTCTCTTCTCCCCCAAGCTATGGGTTAAATAGCAAGACAAACTGAATTCTTTAGCTTCGGTTGGTAACCAGTCTAATGCAAAAAGGATTAGCAATTTACTGCAGGTAAAGTTTTCTGCCTTGTCAGTCATGTATCAAATGATAGAGGATTGCCCAATCGTGATCACGTGTGGCACTTAACTAAATGATTGAGTATTGTATGTATAACGTTGTCTATATAAAAGTTTTCATAGAAGAGAATGTGTTTTTTTTTTAGGGATGAGATCCAGTCATTAAACGTGATTAAAAATATTGCATTTTAGAGTCCATGGAATCAAAATGAATGTGCTGGTCGAAAGGTAATAGAGTTGTAACTTAATTTTCTTCTGATCTTACAGATAGATTTTTTCTCTCCTGGTTTCAACGGATTCTTTTTGGAAAATTACAAATGCTTCGCGATTTTTAAGTCTGTTAATTAAAACTACGAAACAAAACTAGAATTATGTCATGTTAAACTTTTTCAATAGATTTGTATTGTAGATTAATATTTTTCTACTTCTTTATACCACAGTTAATGAGCAACTTGATTTTGATTCAATGGTGAGAATATTGCTAAATTCCTCACTGATTTCTTTTCAAGCCCGTGGGCAAATCACTTTGAAGGCTGATTTTCAAGGCTTACAGGCCAACTTCACATGGGAGATGCGTCCAGCAACATATCTCTTTTTAAACTTTCAAATTGTCCAAACGAAGCTCTACAATGTAAATATATGAAGTACACATTAACTTCATGTAGTATTATCTCTTGGACGTACGAATGCTTTAATTGAAAAAGAAAAAAAAAACATTGATATGTATCTACTATTTTGTGTGAATAATTTATATGTTTTGTGTCTAAACATTGTCTATAGAATTATAGTGAGATTCCTTTTCTAGTGGGGCGAATTATTAAAGAAAATTCTAAGTGCAAGTCATTTTCACTGGGGACATTGATGTGTTGAAGGCATCTGGGATAAAAGTCGACTTTTCCCTCTGGATATTGTACTTGTTTTTACGTTGCACAACAAAGCTTATTACTTGTACACAGCTATATTGATTGTGGAAACGATAACAAATCTTTTACAGCGTATACAACCTTAAATGTTAAAATATTTAATGTGTTTTACGAAATGAAGTGTATTGCAAAAAGTCTGAATTTGCTGAATGTATACAATAAAAAAACTCAAGAGTTATCCGTCGATTAATTTATGAATATCGAAAATGGGTAACTGTATTATCTTTTTTAATCATTTCACCCCAAGCAAGGCAATAACGCCACTAAGACATAATAGGTTACTGATTTTGAATAAAATAAGTTAAAATAAATTATTATGGAGCGAGAACTATAAACGAAAATGAATCAAGAAGACAAACATTGCATTCAAATTTTTAAAGATCAAATTTGACTTGAAAATTAGGAGGCGGAAAAGAGCTGCACAAGAGGGAGAAGAAATTGTTAGCATAGAACTTACGGTTGCATCTAGCCAATTCTTCTGTAAAATGATGAGACCTTGTTTGCCAATCTAGACCTGTACTTATATTCATACAGACTAGGTACCATAGAGAAAGGTTAGTCAAAACAATAACCCTTAAAATATTTATAGAAAAGTCACGGGGAATCTACACCGGGGCGGTAGGAAAGGGGAAATATTAGGTCAGGACAAATAAAACTGCGGATTCTTCTTTGGATTCTTCTTTGGATTCTATGAAGAATTTCGAAACGTATCACAAAAGCACCAAACCATATGTAGCAGCAATATTCAAATCATCGGCGAATAGTAGACTTATAAATATGCATGATAGATTCTGGAGGGGAAAATTGTCAGGCACAACACAATGAACCAAATTTCCTAGAAGCAGACCTAGCAATTGGTTCAATATAATATTTCCACTACATGTAAATAGATAAAGAGCAATGAGTGAGTCTCTTGGAGGTTAGCATCAGCCATACTTAGGAAGGCAGAAAGGGATCACTCAGATAATTAATAAATAATTCATTATTAATATTGTCAATATCTTTGTTTAAAATACATTTCTGTTGTAGGGTCACTTTTATTATATATATTATTTCCGTTTTTGTTTATCCACTTCATTCTTCCCAGAAGAAAATAGAAATATACGTTATTCGATTATATATTCCCTTTTATTTGCCATGACCTTTTACTTATCCGCCAGCTCTTCGATACATTTTGAGTAATAATCTCTATGGAATCCTAGAATCTTTCTGTAGAACCAAATTTATTTTGCCTATGTTGTAGAATGGAAAATCTCCCACGAGGCCGCCTTAACGCTTCTGAACTCTCCGAAGACTCTGAAATGAAAATTGAGCTTCTCCCAATTGACAACAGTAATCCATTTTTGATCTGTTAACCAGGAAATTTAAGCATCTGCTTGCCTGTTAGGTATGCTCCTCGCATTTTTGTTGTGATTACTGTATATACTTACTTATCATGCTACTTTTGAAAACCTAATTTTGAAGCTGATTTTAAAGTGGTCGAATCATACACGTGATATAAAATTAGCGTATGTTCTGCTGGCCCTAGGTATGCCATTGACCAAACTATATATCCATTTACTTTAGTCAAATGAGCTTCAGGATTAGATTTTCAACGGTCGCATGACAGGCCAGAATATACGGTATGTAATCTTTAGATTTAATGAAATTTTTATATATTCGTTTCCTAAATCATGCCCGTGATATCTTTACTTACATTAACAGTGAATTCAAAACAAATCATTTTAAAAAAAATATTTTTACAGTGTTTACATTGTTTTTCTGCATTTCTGGTTATTGAGTGTGGCAAATCAAATGCAACTTGCTTCCTTATTTCTTTACATGTGGGGTCAGAGTATTGCTTTAATTATTGAGTTAGACCCTCTAATCCAGTACATATGTGAATGCTATAAAATTAAACCATATTCAACATTTTCAGAATAGCCATATTCGCATCATATTGAAAAATTAGTCATTTCCATAAAAGAGTGATCTGACATGTATTGGCTGAATAGTTGGTGTTATTATTAGTTGAAATAGATAAAATATCTTTCTTCAAATCCCACTAAATATTATAGGTCTTTCTATT